TAGAGGGAATTTGCGTGCGCTGCAGGATTTTAAGCCATGAGGTGTAGTGTGTTACTAATGGTAACTGTTGAGACTGCGGTCCCAGCTCTCTTCAGGTCATTGACCGGTTCCTCCCGTGTAGTTCTAGACCGATCCCTCACCTTTCTCAGAATCATTGATACTCAAGATCTTGCATGGAGCCCTAGTCCGAGGGAGATTGACAGCCATCTTGAATTTCCTCCATTTTCTAATAATTGCGCCAACAGTTGTTGCCTTCTCACCAAGCTGTTTGCCTATTGTCCTGTAGTCCATCCCAGCCCTGTGCAGGTCTACAATTTTCTGTCCTTAGACAGCTCTTTGGTCTTGCCCATAGTGGAGAAGTTGGAGTATGATAGAATGACTGTGTGGACAGGTGTCTTTTATACAGGTAACAAGTTCAAACACATGCAATCAATACAGGCAATGACTGGAGGATAGGAGGGCTTCTTAAAGACAAACTAACAGGTCTGTGAGAGCCAGAATTCTTTGGTAGGTAGGTGATTAAATACTTATTTCATTCAATAAAATGGAAACAAATTATTTAAAAATCATACAATGTGATTTTCTGGAATTTTTTGTAGATCCTGTCTCTCACAGTTGAGGTGTACCTACAATGAAAATTACAGAACTGGCCATTCTCTGTAAGTGGGAAAACTTGAAAAATCGGCAGTGTATCAAATACTTATTTGCCCCACTGTATATAACTTACTCTAGTTTTAAAAAACAGTCCGGCACTATTTCCCAGACTGACTGGGTGATAGAGCTAAAATCAATACCACAATATATTTTTATGCCTCCATGCAGTGACCAGAGATTATATTTCATGGTTGTCCATCCGTTAGGGCCCATTCTTCTGTATGTCAGGAATATCTTGAGGGAACTTCTTCAAATCTGGCACAAATGTCCACTTGGACTCAAGGATGAAGTGATTAGATGTTGGTGGTCAAACAAACCCTACTACTGTGTCAAGTGCAAGAAAAACTTCCTCTTCATTTCTCAGCTGAAGAATCACAAGTGTATAAATGAGAGACAGGAAGCAGGGGTTGGGGCTCGAATGCGAGCGCCTGGTGGCCGGGCCCCCCAGCTTAGCTGCCATGTGTTGGAGTTTACCCCGGCGAACGAGAGGGTCGGTTCCCTGCGCCTTGGGGTCGGGGATAGGTCTCTCACTGCCCTTTGTGGGCCAAATGGCAGTGCAGAGTACCCGGCCTTCTTGGAGTCCCTGGGAAGGGTGCTGAAAAACGCCCCGACTAGGGACTCCGTTGTTCTACTGGGGGACTTCAATGCTTACGTGGGCAGCGACAGTGACACCTGGAGGGGCATGATTGGGAGGAATGGCCCCCCCGATCTAAACCCGAGCGGTGTTCTATTACTGGACTTATGTGCTAGTCACAGTTTGTCCATAACGAACACCATGTTCAAGCATAAGGGTGTCCACCAGTGCACGTGGCACCAGGACACCCTAGGCCGGAGGTCAATGATCAACTTTGTGGTTGTTTCATTTGACCTCTGGCCATATGTCTTGGACACTCGGGTGAAGAGAGGGGCGAAGCTGTCAACTGATCACTACCTGGTGGTGAGCTGGATCCGATGGCGGGGGAGGAAGCTGGACAGACTCTGCAGACCCAAACATATTGTGAGGGTCTGTTGGGAACGTTTAGCAGAATCCCCTGTCAGAGAGATCTTCAACCCCCGCCTCCGGCAGAGCTTTGACCAGATCCCGGAGGAGGTTGGAGACAAGGAGTCCAAGTGGACCATATTCTCCACCTCCCTTGTCGATGCGGCCGTTCGGAGCTGTGGCCGTTAGGTCTCCGGTGCCTGTTGTGGTGGCAGCAATCCCCGAACCCGGTGGTGGACACCGGAAGTAAGGGATGCCGTCAAGCTGAAGAAGGAGTC